AATAGTTTTGATTGGTTTTCACTTTTGCAAAAACTCCATGTCATTTTTTATATATTAATACATAAAGGTGAAGAGTTTGACCGCTCTATTTTAAGGAATTACCGGCCCGATTTTAATAAAAATTTATTTGCTTTTATTAATCTATTAATGTGGAATAAACTACACAGGTGAAAACGTGTGCGAACGCTAATATAGAGTAAACGCTGAAACCAATGGATTGTTATAGCGAAACATACGTTTAATATTTTAATGCTACTGAACCTTCGGTATGTGAGTCAGACCTCTTGATGCTAGCCACTAGACCACCGGGACCTTAAATTGTTATGTCCTCTTCAGTCAAAGTGGCCCAATTATCAAATGCTTTAATTTTATTAATTTATCTACAAAATATATGCATATATTTGCTTGTCATTGCCTGGGTTTCGTAAGGCTTTTGGCTATGGAACCCTACATTCATATTCCAGTCAAATGTAATAACAACTTGAAGAAAATGCTCCTGTAACAAACTATTGAAACATTTACATTATGAGCATTTTCAAAAGTCAATCTCTTTAATAATCACAGACTTTTGAATTACTCAAAGTAGCCGAGTAAAACCGAGCAGGGTTCTAATATCCCATAAAAAGTAATTTACTCCATGTACAGTAGTCACGTTAACGAAATTAATATTAAACCTGTTTATTTACGTGGAAACCCGTCTTAGAACTTAGTAATTAATCAAAAATGCTTTTCCCCTTTGAATTTTATATTTCAATACAATTACTTTTAATTGCTTAAAAATATAGGGGAAACGCGTAGGGGGTGGAAGGGGGTCTTTAATTAATATCATCATGAGGAACGTATTCGAACGTATTCTTCTAAACGGCGGCATGTGTATTTCAAAGGGCTCGAGCGAGGACAAGACGTGTGGCTGGAATTTAATTAGAGCTCTGTTGTTCTCGGCGCAATTAGCTATAATAAGGCTCGTCTTTTGTTCAAACTCACTGGAAACGGGTGATTGTTTTAAAAATGTATTTTACTGGTGCAAGCGTTTCGTTTCACGGAAGAGACGGCCAAATCTGACGGGAGAGACCAGTCCGAAGCTTAACAAAAAGTCTTTATTTACTAAAATTATAAATGCGAAAACGTGTTGTTTTAATTATTTATTTTTTAATAATCGATTTTATGTACTATTTTTGAACATTAAGAAGCTATAACTATAATTATAGCACATAATATAAGAAATTGATGAACAATATTTTAAAGTGTATAATTGGTATTTATGGTTAAAGACGTTTATTTCTCTAAAGAACACACTGTTCACTTATACAGAGACTAGCTGACCCGACAGACGTTGTCCTGTCTACACGTCTTTAATTTGAAAATTTCAAACTTTTTTTAATAAGCTAAAACATTCTGGACCATTTTGATGAAAATTATTATTCAAATTGTGAATCTAAACCATTCTCAGATCCCTTTGAACACACACAAAAAAATTCATCAAAATCGGTCCAGTCGTTTGAGAGAAGTTCAGTGACATACACACTCACAGAAGAATTATATATATAAAGATTAAGTACAATATATATAAAGATAATATTAACAGTATTTACACGGTAGCATGCATTATATAATTTTTTGTTACTTTTTCTTATGTAACTTTAATTTGTATAATTATTTCTATATTATGTACATATGTATTATAAAAAGATAATCTTTTAAAAAAAAAATATTTATATTATACTAATATAATATTCAAATTTTTTTTAAAATTGAAGACATGCAGTTATAAAATTTTTAACATATGATTTTAACTTATTCTTAAAAGGCTTAATATTATTACAATTTTTTAAAGTATCCGGTTGATTATTATATAAAAGTACACCTTCACACATTATATTTTTATTGCCATAGGATTTCGTTCGAGGCTGGCAAAATTCAAGTTTGTTTTTGTTTCTAAGGTTATGTTTAATATATTTTGGTGTGAATGTTAACGTTGAATGTATACTTTTAGTTACAATTTTTTTAATAATAAGGCATGTGTTGTATGTATATAATTGTTTTTATTCAAAATATTTATATTCAAAATATTGTATGAAAATAATATTTTGGCGGTACTCATAAAATTTATTCTATTTCATTTTAAAATAGCGTTTTTTAGATTTTTTAAACTACAATAATATTTTTATAACGCAGTGAAGCAGTCACGCTTCACGTTATTTATGTCTGTTTGTATAATTTCTGTAAATCAAAAATATACAATATTCCTGTAATAAAAATTATGAAAATTGAAATAAGTAATGAAAATATAATAAAAATAATAATTCTGAAGTAAAAATTGTCTGTTGTTATTCAGCCGAAATATAAATTGTTAAAACAGAACACGTTTGGCTAAGCTTGTAGTGACCCTCAGCTTCAATTTGATGTGTCAGTGGTCGCGGGTTCGAGTCCCGCTGGGGGCTTTTATTTGTGTAATGAGCAGGAATGTTTGTACTCTAGTCATGGGTGTTTATATTTATAATATGTATGTATTTAAAGTTATATATGTGTAATGTATCAACTATCTAGTATCCATAACACAAGCCCCGTATGTTTACCATGGAACTAGATGGTGCTGTGTTGAATGACCCAACATTTATTTATTACTAGCATTGCCCGCGGCTCCGCCCGCGTTCAGATGACCAAAAACTAAATTCTTAGGTGTTACATATTAGTATACTCTTACATTGCAGTTTTTGTATTTTTCCTCAGAAATAAGATATTTTCCCGCGGTAAAAAGTATCCTAGGATCGCGCGCTACATCGCCCGGTTTATATAGCTTGAGCAGGCGGTCGAGCGATGCGGGGCAGAGGGGATGGACTCGCCGTAGGCATCTCAATGCTCGCCAAGCATTAAAAATGTTTCGCTACTAATTACTTCTAACAACGATATCTCAAAAACTATTCATCTGATTGATTTAGTGTAAAGAGCAATTTTAATCTGCATTAAATGACTAAGCTAACTAAAATATTCATTTGGATAAGGATTAATACCGAACTAAAGAAAATAACTTTGAAAATAACGTAATGTTTTTAATTAAAAATGTTAACATAAAAGTGGTTATTGTAAGTCAACCGTAAGAGATAGAGATATGCTATCGCGGACTTTTTTGTAGCATTTTTATAGATTTTGAATTCTCTAGTACATTACTTAACTGTATCTTTGCTAGTTTACGCGGCGTTCGCGTGGAAAGTTCCCATTTGGCGAGATTTTTTGCGACCTCTTCAACATTTGTCGCCGTATTTCAGCTAATTTACATAAAAGCATAATAAATTATATACCTAAACCTTCCTCAAGAATTACTCTTTCTATTGTTGAAAACCGTATAAAAATCCGTTCAGTAGTTTTCGAGTTTATCGCGTTCAGACAGACAGGAGGACAGAAAGACGCGGCCGGGGGACTTATTTTTATAATAAGTATAGATTATTACTAATAATGGTCAATGGAATGTTTGATTATACAAATGGCAGATTAATAATATTTTCTAACTTGCTTTTATTACCTTATTATTTTACCGTACTGAAGAACAAAATAGTTTAAACTTATCTACTTGCACGTAAAATCAACCATAGTACGCAATTTTTCCGGCTCATTTTGTGAGCTGAAAATGATCCCAAGATACTTGTTTAAGTTTCATTAATACTCTCAATTATATATTTTTCATCGACCCATAAAGACTAAAAGCTAACGCGTAATAAATATTATAACATGTAATTGCAACATAAATGACCAATTTGTATTCACATTTATATGCTAATTTGATGTAACCTCCATAAAAAGATAATAATTTTGCCCAATTAACTGCCTTTTCAGTAATGACGTGATGAATCGAACAATCAGTCCCGGTAACGCAGTGGTACAAAGGCTCGTTAGAACAGGTAGCTTCGCGGGGGTGAAAAATGTATTTGAGTGCAATCTCCGGCCTCAGACGCGGCGGAAACATCGCCTTTGTTCTGTCCATCGGGGATTCTTGTAAAGCTTTGGACACCTATAAATTTTCATGTCATCGAAATTGCTGTGCAATCGAATGACAAAAATGTCAAATGTTGTCAGTAAAAAGTTAAAAATGCCTATGTTTAGATAGTTCTTTATTATATATACATATATATATATATATATATATATATATGTATATATACAGATTATAGAGTAGGTAGTAGGTACTTCGTGGTCCTAGCGCACTTTAGGTTAGATTTATCTGTGCACAAAATTTCGTCTAATTCGTCCAGGTGCTAGAAGGATTAAAAATTATAGCCTATTTTTTTATAACTACAATTGATTTTAAGAAAGTATTTTTAAATTTAGTTTATTTTATTTATATAATACTAAGATTAAGATATTATTTTTTAACTTAAAAGAGGCTTTATGATGATATTATATTATATTTTGAAAGAAGAAAAATATAAGAAAAACATAACCAACAATATATAAAAAAATACTATTTATAAGCAACGGTGATTCCGCAGGCATAAAAAGAACTTTTCCATAAGATTAATATTAATTCTCAGATCAAGTAAAAAAACCTAGATAACGCATTTAGGACAGAAAGTGGAACCATTTTTTTAAGTATGTGTGCGTGACTGATGTGTTGACTCTTTTAAAAAAATCTCCCTATAATTCTGTAATATATGTAATATGCGAATAAAATAAAATATATATAATGAATGAAAATAATATATATATATATATATATATATATATATATATATATATATATATATATATATATATATATATATATATATATATATAATATAATGTAAATAAAAATAAGAATAAAATAAAAATGTTTTTATTTATAATAAGATTGTAAATATGTAGGAGGCGTGTAGGATCATTTTATAAATAGTTTGAATAGATAGTCTTGGGTGAAAAATACAACAAAGATAATGTATAGAGTGTTTATTAAAAAAAAATAACACATTTTCATAACAAAATTATGCAGGCAGAATAGAAAACCTCCTTTTATTTGAAGTCGGTTAAAATACCCGTTTTGGATATCCTGTTCTATGAATTCGGCGAAGTTCACGTTGTGTATCGTACATGTCCTTCTCATCAAAATGATCTGAACAAACCACACTAGAGGATGGCTGCCATTGTGGGTCATTTCGACTCGGTCTTATAGCAGCTACCCATTCATCTCTTATTAAAATATTCGTTGGCAATCTACAACCGATATAATATTTTATAGTAAAAAATAGAAGTTAACTCGAAAGAAAACTTGAAAGTGTAAAAATAATTATTTAATAATAATTTAATGTGTACTTAATTATTTTGCTATGAACTTACCTACATTTACTCCACATTTTTCGATCAGCAGAAATACGAACTCCTGTCAACACTCTCCCGTATGTCATTTCGGGACATTGTCATTATTTATGTCAAACAACCTCAAAATGATGTTAGAATAACATAAAAATATATGGTATTGTGTGTAGTTACATGTGAAATGATTTTCCATCAGACTTTTTGTTCACTTTTGAATTGGTTTTTAGGCAAACTTACTGCACGACCCGTAAGATACTAACGAAAATGAGCATAGTTTGGTGCATATGTGTGCTGTGTTTACATGAAGGAGCAGACTTTTGTGGCTTAAGTAATAATGAAGGCGGTGCGTTATCTACCTTTTCTTACTTGATCTGAGTATTTATTAAATAAGTATGATGAAATTTAATTTAAAATAAAACCGGGCGAACTTTAGCCCGCAACAAAAATCTAATTTCTGCTTAATATTTTACAGAGTTACATCCGTCGCGGTCGAAACTTATCAACTTCGGAGTTAGTTCGCGAACTGGAGTTCGAAATTTATAACTCCGGAATAAAAATTCATTGTTTTGAGCTTTTGTTTTTGCGTTATCTATGTTTTATTTTGTTGTATGATGAGATGGCTTGCTAGATCATTCCTGTGGGTTGACTTGCTTCGAAATCAATAATAAATAAATAGTACGATGACTTGCAGAAATGAAACTAAAGTATTTATATTAGTAAAAAAAAACTAAAATATAAATGAATAACTAAACGAAGATTTTCATTTAGAATAAATACCTAATCAGATATTTTCGAAGTCGGTGCCAGCCGATGCAAAGCAAATCTAATAGGTAGTATGCCTAAATGCATTTCCCAACGTTAAAAAAGGTCATAATCTATTTATAACTAAACTTCATCCAAATCCGTTCAATCATTTAACGTGAAAAAGTACTTTTTTATATAACTAGTGGCATTGATATTAGCCGACGTAAAATACACAAGCAATTGTAGTCATTTTCTTAACGAACTTAAACTGCGCTATAAAACTCTTAACTTGCCTTTTAATTTTATTTTCCTTCTCGTTTATTGACGTTAAGTCGCCGCGAGAACATCCCGTGACTTAGATCCGATAGGATTTTATTTTATATTCAACTTATTAGTTAGTGTCTTTGTCTTTGTGAACGTTATTATTCTATATAATTTTCAAATGTTTTCTGTAAACTAAAGAAGCTTTTTTATTTCAAGCATGAAAAATGTTAATATTAATAGAGAAAATATATAATTTTGTTATCAGTATAATGAACATTTTCTTTTCATAGTGGCAAAGCGTTTTTCTTTGTTTTAGTTCCGGCTATATTAACTATCCAACCGTGATCTCATCTTTATGTATTTGACCTTTATCATATGTATGTATGTATGTATGTATGTATGTATGTATGTATGTATGTATGTATGTATGTATGTATGTATGTATGTATGTATGTATACAGCACCTGAAATACTTGTCTTATACATGTATCGCATTTATTAAAAAGTCTTAATATTTTTTTTAGGTTATTGAGCAAAATGTCTAAAGGAATGATAGCCAACTGCCAACAACCTCGCCAGATAAACTTTTTCATGAAGTGCAAATTTGCTACCACAGAATGTTCAGTTCGACATTATTTTTATAAGAATAGAATTATATTGTACAGTATTTTAACAATGGTAATACTAAAAATCATATAATATTTATTTATTTCAGAAATATTAACTAAGTTGAGTCTTATTGAGTATAGGGTTTAAAAATAAGAAAGCATTTTTTTTATTTTTCCAGCGAAAATTATTAAATGATAATGCTAGTAGTACTACCTGAATAAACAGTAATAATACTATATAAAAATCGAACCTACGACTTCCTAAAGAGTAGAAAATTGCCTGCTGCCACTACACAGGTCGGAATTTTTCAATTAGTTCTAAAAATAGACAAAGCCTTTGAGACATATTTTTTTTATTTTATTCCTACTTCGCGCAGTTTGACGCTAAGCCGCCGCCGGAACATCTTGTGACTTCGATCCTGAACTGTTTTATCTTTTATTTATACAACAAATGCGAGTATTGTAGCTCTCGAAGAATATTGCACTTGTATCGAACATTCGAGTTCAGAGCTAGATATGAGTTGCATACAATATTTGAAAATAGACATTTACACGTAAGCTTGCAAAAAATGTTTGATTAAATCACACAAAAAAAATATGGAAATTAGCAACTTTATAACACCTAAAGTTTAGACGAGACCTGCCCACGATACATTCAAAACCTTCATCTAATGCTAAATCTGTGTATGATTATATTATATAATTTAACATATTAATTCTTAACATAATATTATTTTTGTTATTTTGCTCTTTAGGTATGGAACCCTTAAAATCCTTGTCACAATTTTAGATACATTTAGTTTTGATAAACGTTGTATTTCCTTACTCATATGATTAGAACCAAACATTTTACAAATCGAACTTGTATCTCAAAAATAGGAAAGCACGAATGTGATGGATGGCATTGAATCCCAGCTCTTCTCAGCTAGCCGTAGTGAATCTCTCCAATTGATCGATGAGACTGCGGCACTTGCTCTTTACTGGCAAGATTATATTTAAGCGAGCTTTTTTCAAAACACTTAAGACGTTATTTATGTTTATAATTGCAAAGATCATCATTGAAAATAATGTGAGAATGTGCCCTCCTCCACGTTGCAGGGGCAATATGAATTTTAACATTTTAAATAAAATACGCTCAAGTAAAATCTCGTGGATACTACATTGAAAATTAATTAGAGCTGCAGTCCGCTGCAATGCTAATGGTTCCTGTTGGCGTGTATATGATTTAGAGATTTTTCCGGTTGACCTGATCTTTCGCCCGCATTACGCCGGAGTTACTTAACCCCTTTTAACCAAACTATATTAACATTTGATTGAAAACTTTCATTTAAAGCTTCATAATAATTTTTTGAAGTTATCGGCTAATATGTTATGTGAATTTTAATTAATATAAATAAATTTACAATAAAATAAGGAAAATTGTGAAACTTTCCGAATATGCTATAATATTATAGCAGTATTTTATTTCATAATTCGCATTTGTTGATTAAACAACACTTTTATCAGAATTTTAATCAGAATCATTTTTTTATTTTAATCAGATTAAATTAAGTATCTTCGTAATATGTGCTCGCTTGGAAAGTCAAGTCGTTATCCGAACTGGGTAAATCTTCTTATTTTCATGACCAAGTAAGTCATTTTTAAAATCATTGTTTCTTACTAATATGACGAAGGAAAACTCCGTGAGGATGCTAGCACGTGTAAGAGAACTTAACTAGTTTTTTTAAGCCCATCACATTTGGCTAGCGTGATAGACATTGTCCTATGACCTATTCCCTGTCACATTGAAGCTGTAAAAAGGACTGAATTATTATTTATATAATATTGAACCTGTAGCTTCCGTGGTAGCTCAACCAGTAGTAACACGTGTACTCGTACACTGCATTCTTTAAAAATGAATTAAACGTTCTCATTTGTAAGTGGGTTATTATTTCGAAGCATTTAAGAAAAAAGTTTAAAAGCATATTTTATTTCTCAGGTGAATAGCGCTCGAGTTTGTTATATCAAGTAAAGTAACACGTTCTCGACGGTACCTGGCATATTTCAAGAAGCAATGAGAGCGTATTTTTTTATGTTTGCTTCTTGATATTGCTTATATTTCAGATTATTTTATTTTCCTCTTATGTAGGAAAGTGAAAATAAATTATTTCATCATCACAAGTATTTAATAGAAACAAAGTTTTGAGATGTGCCCTTTAAAATATTGTCTTTTGGCTGTATAGATTAGAAGATATTGAAACATGAAAATAGCGCGCAAAATCATTTATAATGTAATGTTATGTTCATTGTATTCAATTATTTATATTATGTACCAGCAAAACTATACATACCTATAATAAAATCCTAACTGAGTCGAATCTGTACATTAAATATTTTTTGGAAAATCTTATTGAAATAGGCATTATTGTCGATACAGAAGCCGAATCTATAGTTTTTAGATATTTTGTCTATCTGTTTGTCTGTTTAGGAAGTAATCACGAGTGACCACTGGACAGATTTTGATGAAATTTGGTATGAGACAACTGGTTATCCGGGTCAACATATAGGATACTTTTTACTGCGGGAAAATATCTCATCTTTGAGAAACCTATAATAACTGTTAAAACGTACATAGGGACGAATCCGAGCGGAGACAGGGTTAGTTGCTAGTTATATATAAAATTATTTACTCGGATAGATTAACTGATTCATTTTGTCCAAAAGAAGCACTGGACACAGGTCATAAACACATAAAGCAAAAGAACTATTGCGTAACAGAAAAGTAATGAACAGTGAATACATTTTTCTCTCTACGCCCCTGTGACACGTATGTAAGGCTAGAAAGGCAAAGAGAGCAGAACCGCTTAATACTATGTGCATAAATTAGTGTTCATTTAGTGCTAATTTAGTGCCAAAAGCTAAAATTTGATGCTCTTATATTTTGGCAGAATATTAGAAAACTGCTATATTTTAGTTAAGCTAGCAGTGTCACCGCCTAATACGCTAACGCAACACACAGCGTCAAATCAATTACATACCAAATTTCAGCTTTCTAGGACTTTAGAAAGTACCCTAAGAATTTTGATGATCATCGGTGAGTGAGTCCGTGACGAAATCGGAGTTTTTTTAGATATCAATAAAATTTTAAGTATAAGAGCTATGTAACTGAAACTTTATATGTTTAATAAATCTACTATTGAAATCTTATCCCGAGAATTTTATTTAAATGGTATACCTAATCCAAACCCAAGTTATGAGGGTTCAAAAAAGCGACGAAGCGCTTCAAGAAGAAGTAGGTAGTGCCTTGCGCTTCGCTTAGCTCGTCTTGGCGGGGCACTACCGTACCCCCAGATTTTAGGCAATCTAAGTAGTATTTAATGACCTCTTTGAAAACATCCCAGTCCCTTCATCAGAACTATATTGCTTAAAATTAATTATCTCTAAAGACAATTTTAATTGTTCAACTTTCAATGAGAGAGATTAGCGGAGTAGAT